AGCAATTGTAGATCGACCGCAGCCCGGAGAGACTTCGACGACATCTGCACCCTCTGTCCGGCAGGCACCCCAGAGGACCTGCCACGCTGCCTATTGACCTTCTCCAATGCAGCTCAACTCTGGCTCGTAAGCTCAACTGGGTAATGCTCCCAAAATAACTCCGGGTTGAATTGTGAGGTCCTCGGCCTCAACCTTTTCTTGAAATAAAATGTTTTTTCCAAAAAGAAAAAAAAGAAGGAAAAAAAGGAACGAGACTACGCATGCAAAAACAGCAAAACGGAGACGGGAAGGGCTCAAGACTACATAATACAAATGCAAAAACAGCAAAATGGAGAGTCAAATCGAAAGACGATCCTCATTTTTGTGAGCCATGCACACACACGCCCTGGCGCAGCCGCGGTGGCTGTCCACTTCGGAATGCCTTAGGTGTATACACAAGATTGCCAAGTTCCACAAGGTAATGCTTACATGCACCGCAAAGCTCAGAGTCTGAGGTCGTCACTCTCAGTTGAGCGGTCAAACTCTGTTCTCTCCTTCGCTGTGAGCCACATAATCAAAGCCGCGCTGGCGATACTGATCCTCATCTCTACACCCGGAACACCACGTTTCCTTCCAGAGTGGAGAGATGGCATCCCGGGGGATCATCGTAAGTTTGTTATGCGGCAGAAACATAGCGCAGGGGAAATTAAGCTCCACAATTACAAACCCCAATCCGACATATCCTGAGCAGAACAGCTCGTCCAAGAGGACATATGTCTTGCAGGTCTGTGCAGTGGCTTCCCGGGCTTCTCACTCACAGACTTGGCATGATACGGGAAGGGTAAGAGTTTCGAGTGAGATTCAAAAGGGGTGCAAGGGGAACCCGAGAGCACATGCATCAAATACGAGGCAAGATACACATGATCACACAAGAAGCACATCACTCATGCACCCATGCGTAAACAGGATCCGACAATGTCAAGCTCAGAAGAAGTGCCTACCCCACTCTCTCAACAGTTAACCCGATCCGTACACACAATCCCAACCTCACTGCGCAAGCAGTGCGTTGTCATGCACTTACCTCCGTAACCGGCAATCATTGCCCCACTTAATCCAGCCAGCTTGAGGCATTGGCCCGAGTCCTGCCATCTGCCACATTGAACTCGGCGATCCTGCTCAGTTGACGTCAGCACACCAGGACTTCCGATCCGTGAACTCATGCCTCCACTTACCAGGCCAGTTGAACCACTAGCCGCACTAACCTTCGTGTAAAACAAGAGAGAAAGTTGTGCTTAAGAGACTTACAGTTTAGACGAGAAAAGCAAGGAAGGACGAAAGGAAGAAGGGAAGGAAGGAGGAATGTCAAGGAAGCTGCTGCGCTGTGTGGTGAGGTCACCACGTGGGGGGTGTAGCCACTCTCCACACGACGATCTGTCATGCAGCAACATTGGCCAATCGGAAAGTAGAGTAGATGGACGAGAGCAAAAGCAGGAAGTAAGAGGCATAGCAAGGAGATGTTACGATCCTAGCCAATTCCGAAGTACAAAAACACAAGGAAGTACAATGTCATCCAATTGCAAAAAGAAATGAATGAACTTGAGAGGAGAGAGAGACCAAAGAAGAAGAAGAAGAGAAGAAGAAGAAGAAGAAGAAGAAGAAGAAGAAGAAGAAGAAGAAGAAGTACACCAGCTTCCCCCTTCTTTCGCCAACCAACTCGTCCTCCTTATCTCCCCCTCTTTATTCAAAAAAAAAATAATAATAATTATGATGAATGGCTGAACCAGAAATGTCCAAATCCCTCTTCTACTGCCAGCACTAGTGATGACCTCCATCTTCCTCCACCTCCGACAGGTCTGGGCTATGGCAGACTACTAAGGGCCTTGCCCGATGTTCAAAAGGCAACACAAAAGCAACTATGTCCTCCTCTTCTCAGGCCGCCATGCCTGACTCTGCCTTGAAGCCTTCTTGATGTGACACTACCCCAGTAGGGGCCTCCCAGATGCTGCGCCTACTAAGGAGATGAAGATGGCACCTACCATAGCCAGGTAAGTACCCCTGGAGCTCTCCTCTCTAGTCCCCTTCTTCCTCCTCCTCCCACCTGGGTCTTCCACCATAGCCGAGGTGGTCACCCAGGCTCTCCTCTTCCCCCCAGCGCTGCACCCTAGCACTCCTTCAGGCGCTCCAGCAGCGCGACACCCAAACTTGCACGCAGCAAAATGAGGAGCAACTCGCTCCTCCTGGAGATATAGCGGCCTACCAGCCTCTTGGGCAGTGACTTCGAGGCCGCGCGGCCTCCAAGCAACCAGTACCTCCTCCCTTTCGAAGGGAAACATCATTGCAGACCTAATATCTACTCGTACAGGCCCTAGACCTACACTACCGGACTTCTACCCCTAAAGGTACTAACTTTTGTCTTGTTCTGCTCGGTGTACCGCTACTCAAGTGCTACTGGAGTGTGCCCTAGGCGACCCCTTCAGTGTTCTTCCCCGCCGCAAACCTCAAAGTCACGGCCACATGTAAGTACCAGCCCCACGGGCCTCCCAAACAAACAAGTGCCATGGCGGGCCACACACGCACTGAGGCCGACAAGCACTCAGACAGGCATGCGGACCAGGAAGCACGCACACACACATGCAAAGACTTGCTGATTTTGACTGCCGAGATCTGACTGAGAGGCTGTACAGTAACAGCAGTAGGGTTAGATTCGTAATTTTGTTTGTGTTAGGGACTAACCGAGAGTTCAGTGCTGAGGGAAATCCGTGAGGGACATATCTGCAATTTTGGGAAATTTACAGGCCCGCAATTCCCTTAGACCGCACTGCGAATAGCAGGCCCGGGCTATCACTAGGACGGGAGGCCCTAGGGCCTAGGCCCGTACCATGATAGCCTATAGCCGGGTAGGTAGAGGCCCTAGAGGCCCAACCTGAAACGGTACCGGTCGATCCAGTCCGTGTCTAGGTCTAGTTTAGTCTATTAATAGATCTAGGTCACTAAGGTGAGGACTTTTGGGAGCTTCCAGTTTTCGCGGGACAGCGTTCTGAGCCAAGTAAGTGCGGTGGAGATGATTGCCTTCAGGAGGCATCCTGAGACCTTCGTCGTGGACGGCAGCCATAACCAGCCTTCTGGAGCTCGCCATAGCTGGGGCGTCCTCTGAGCATCCACCCCTAGGGGTGCTTGCGAGGGGCTGGGCTATTCCGAGGCTCTACATGGTATTCGTGGGTGGACCACTGTTGCTGCATCTTCCTCTGAGATTGTGCGTGGCATCTACAGTGTCGCTGCAGCTTTCTTCATCAGAGTTGCTCATTGACACTAAAGATTACCCCGCAGTTCCTGTTCTTCATCTGGGGGGTTGGCGCAGGCCTCTGGGAGGCTGATGTTGTGTGGCGCTACTAACTGCGTGTAGTATAGGGAGTGGAGTGTGTGGTTCTGTGAGTGGCGAGACACTGGGACAAACTCTGTAACGATATTGGTTCAGATCGGCTCAATCTCAGATTGTTCCTTTGTTATCCTTGCGGGCGTCTACTTGTGATTGGTTGTTGGGAGTACTGTCAGAGAGTGGGAAACACTTCGTGTTATCTCCACACCTGTGCATAGTGCTTTTCTGCTGCTTGCTCTGTCTGTGTGCAGTGTGTACTCTGTCTCCTCTCCCCTTCTTCTTATGCATGTATGGGCATGCGTGAGATTGTCTGTGTGTGAGTGTTGGTGAAAATCGACAGACAACCAAGTTCATAACACACAGACTTGAAAAACGCGGCAGAACGCGGGAGTCTCAGCAAGGCATTCAAGCGGCAAAACTCAGAAATCAGCGGTGTTCTCAGTCTGTGTTTTGGCAGGTCCTGACAGAGATAAAAATTCAAGGAAAGCAGAGAGAAGAAGTAGAGAGAAGGAGATGACTCGCACAAACAGCTGATAAAGTAAACACAGGAAACATGGCGTGCGCTGCAGAGAAAGAAGGGGGTTAAGGTATGGGGTGCGAGAATCGCGTGCGCTTGGGGAGGGAGTATGCAAGATCCAAGAACCAGGGCAGAGATGGAAGGCGAAGAGTGAGAAGGAAAGATATGCCTCTATTTCTATCTCTGTGAGCGGGCACTATTCCACCGAATTGCAAAAATATAGTGTCCGTTGAAGCGTGGAAGAAAAAGTGCTAACTGTCATGCTGCGCTCACTGGGGCGGAATTCCTACATTCAGCAAGCAGAAATTTCGAAAGGACGAAAACAAACTTCACAAGCCCGGTGAATGAGGTCGTGAAGCGGTATTCAGGAGGTCGTGCGTTCAATTTCCCACGTCGTCCATTCGATCCCCCACGTCCCCAGTGTTACGCTTCGGGTTCACCAGCTGAGATAATCCGCTTGGGCTTCCTGGCTGGTTGTGGAATGGTTTATGACTTCCCCCTTTACAGCTCGCGCCAGGTGTTCCGAGCCGGGGTACTGCTCCCCGCATAGAGCAGAGTTGACTGTGTCCTGAACTAAGAGATTGTGTCTGGAATAGAGGTGGATGGAGGGTTGAGACTCGAGAGAAGAAAATAGGGTAGTGAAAAATACAGCTTGTCCCCCATCTATGAGGAGAAGAGTCAGTAAGACAAGTTTTTTTTTTATATAAAGAAAAAAGAAAAAGAAAACAAATTTCACGACTATCCTACAGAAGTCCCAAAGCAAGATGTCAAAAGATTCGGGGGCTTCCCGCAGGTGCTTAGTGCAGTGTAAATTATCGCCACTTAGCCGGTCCGTACCACTGTGCAAAAGTTGGCGCAGCATGGAACTTAAACAGCTGAACTGTCATACCAAAGTGATTCCATCTCTGGCTTGTACCAAAGACAGCTTGAGAAACCAGTTTATCCCTCTGGTCAGATTTACGATAATGCCTGGATGCCAAAGGAATTACAATTTGTGCGAAGCATCACCCCCCCGAAGATTAACCTTCTTCTTTTCCTTTTTGCTCCTGGGTTTTCGATCACGGCCACAGCATTGTCTATTCACGAAGCAATAGCAGTAGCTATTGAAAGGATAGCTGGACAAGAAAGGCAAACAACAACAACAACAACAACAACAACAACAACAACAACAACAACAACAACAACAACAAGGAGAAGAAGAAGAAGAAGAAGAAGGAGAAGAAGAAGGAGAAAAAGGAGAAGAAGAAGAAGAAGAAGAAGAAGAAGAAGAAGAAGAAGAAGAAGAAGAAGAAGATGAAGAAGAAGAAGAAGAAAGAAGAAGAAGAAGAAGAAGATGAAGAAGAAGATGAAGAAGATGAAGAAGAAGAAGACAAAGAAGACGACGACGAAGAAGAAGAAGAAGACGAAGAAGACGAAGAAGAAGAAGAAGAAGAAGAAGAAGAAGAAGAAGAAGAAGAAGAAGAAGAAGGTGATGATGCTGATAATCGCATGGCCCACATTGGTTTACTGGTATGGATGTAGGGTCTAGCGTAAGCATGGAGGCAATTCAGTAAAAGGCCAGCAGTCTGAGCATATGCTCAGAAAAATGTCTACTTGGTTTCATTGCTTGGCACATGATCGATTACACTTGTTGTCATATGCGCATTCCCATTTTGCAGTGCTGCTCATTGCACATGCATGCGGGTGTTGGAGAAGCAGCAGGGTGTCTCTAGGAGTAGCGGGCTTCTGCAGCTCACTGCCAGAAGTTAAGCCAGCTCACAGCGGGGGCCGCAATGCGAAATAGTTGAGTTTTACGATGCATTCTGTCAAAACCGAAATCATTGAACCACCAGAGCCTCACCCAGGCAAACTTGGGAACCGAAGTTGAGCCAATCTGGATTCTTCAGACAAACAGCGCTACCGTGCCAAAATGGCTGGCAGCATCAACCAAAGAAGAGAAAAATTGTGCTGCTAGTGATTCGTTTTTTTTTCTCCTGGCACGCAGTGCAAATCCGGATTGGGAAAAAGAGGCTCCGAGGTACTGGTGGCTTAAGAGATCGGAGGCATTTCCCAAGGATTCTGGAGATTTGTGGTATTCAGAAATCCATGGCACCCTAGTGTAGATCGCTAGAGTCGAGGTTTTCTGCCAAGAACAGCAAGCTCTACAGGCATGAGGGCAAGTTCAGGGACAAGAACAGGGTAGAAAAAGGAAAAAAAAAGAGACAAAAGGATTAGGTGGAAGGAATGCATCTGGTCCCGCCCCTGACTTTTAGAGCTCAGGATCGTCTTATGGATAAGAACCTAGAGGCCCAAAAATTACCAAAATCTTCAGGTTGATTGTTTTTCCGTTCTCTCTCTTTCTCCCTTCTCTCTCTCTGTGGCCCCTCATTCACTTTCTTTATGTCTTTCTCCATTGCTTTCTTTGTTTTCTTTGCCCCCTTCCTTTTCCCTTTTAACTTTCTGTTCTTTTCTTTTTCTCTCCTGCTCCTAATTCTCAGGGCTACTCCCCCCTGAAACGGCAGTTACATAGTATAACTGATTGACTCTTCTGCTCCTAATTCTCAGGGCTACTCCCCCCTGAAACGGCAGTTACATAGTATAACTGATTGATTAGCACGTACCGACTCATCCATTTATGTTTCGGGCTGCTGTGCGCCTGAAGGGATGAGAAAATCAGGAAAAGGGTCTCGACTGTCGTGACTGGAAGAGCCCTTCTCGCGCCCTGTTCCCTTGGGGCCATGTCACATTTACCTGGATGATGGGTGTGGGCTAGAGCATAGCAACACATCTGGCTTTACTCAAGACATGGGAAGGGAAAGGTGCAAGGAAGATGAGCAATAGCGAATTCCCGAACTCAACAGCATCATACCAGAGTGACCAAATAGCCATGACCTCGAACCATAAGCAGAATGGCATCACGAGTTATACCAAATAAGAACACAGCAATAGTTCATAATTGACAATGCTGAAGTTGTCTCACATCATCATCAACAAAGAACAAGAGTTGGTATCCTATTGGCGCTCGGCGCCCAGACTACAAGATGGCAGATCCTATCTAGCCTACTACTACAATGCCGAAGTTGACGTCAACAGCTTCACCGAAGTACGAGCATATGCGGCCAATGCTGCTCGCCTCAAGCACCAGGTATGACTCCCGCATCGCTCTCAACCCCGATCCTCACCGCACAGATGCCTCTAGCACCCAAGGACCAACCTGCGCCCAACCCAGCTTACAGCAGGCAGC